TTTCCCCCCCAGCCTCCTTCCTCCTTCCCCCCAGCCCTCAACATTGCCCCAGCAAAAAACATAGTCGGCTGCTCAGTCCCTGGAGGAGAGCTTTCTTTCTGACTTTTTTTGGTCATTTCTGAGCAGCGGCTCCTCCCTCCGGGTCCTCTGAGGGCCTCCCCACTCCATACAGTGACAGGGACCCCTGAGCAACACCACTGCCCGGTTCGCTGCCCTTTTCTGGGAACGCCCGCCAATCAGCCTGCGAGCTCAGTGGGAGAAGCTGCTACGGTGCCTCTGAATGTGGTCAGAGAAGCTGCGGGTGTCGGCTTCACAGACAGGGTCAGCTCTGTCACCTGGAGCAGCGTTGTACCTGGACCGCTGCAGCTCCTAGCACAGTCCAGGCAGGAGCTGAGTGAATGCTTCCAATGAAGGAATTCAGCAATGAGCACATGCCATTGGGTGTACACCGTATAAGTTAAATCCAACAGGATTTAAGTTTCAAATAAAATATTTACTCATTTCTTCATACTTAAGAAATACAAAAGTACTCTACAAAGCTTTACATTGATTAGGTCCTGGTAGTTGTATGAAAAGTTGAGACAGTGACATCTGGGGCTAAGGTAATAATCATACTACTTCAGCATCCTATCTCATATGGTAAAGTTATACATCAGCCCTTTGATTCTGAGCAGTTATAAACTTACTATTTTAACATAATGCCACATATTCAGTTCTAGTAATTATTATCACCTAGCAGCGGTTCTCAACCTGTGGGTCGCGACTCCTTTGGGGGTCGAACGACCCTTTCACAGGGGTCGCCTAAGACCATTGGAAAACACATATATAATTACATATTGTTTTTGTGATTAATCACTATGCTTTAATTATGTTCAATTATGAGATCGCGGCATTAGGAAGGTTGAGAACCACTGAAAGTAGTTTAACAACAGTAGACATGATACTGAGGGTAAAGGAAAACAGTTAACGTAATAATTTTCAAAATGTTAGTAAGAACATGTCAGTGTACACTTGATTTGGGCAGGGTGTGAACATAATCTGGCCTATGATTTAATGGGATCTGGGAGAGTAAACCAAAGCTTTTTAAACTAGAAGGACGCCCACCTTGATCAAATTCAACCCCTTCATCTTTCACATTGGGGAACAGCTGTAGACCAGGGTGAGTGACTGATCCAAAGTCACATAACGACTCAGCAAGAGAGATGCCCAGGTCTCCTGGTAAACACAGAGTTGTTTCTGTTGCTTAAGAGGTTTATGGAATAAAATTAATTTTTATTCTATAAATAAAGTTACATGTTATAATAAATCACATGAATAAAATCATAACTTTAAAAAGATTAAATAAGATATCAAGGGAAGCAAATACATGATAACATTTTGGACTTAAAAAATAACCCTAGAGCAAGAGTTTAATAAAAACAAATGTTGACAAGTGTGTTCAAGTTAACATAATGAGGCTGAGAGAGTGTTGTAAACGTTGAAGGCAGAAATCTGTATGTTTATGTATTACTCTTGCGTTTTGGTTGTGTTTTCATCCGCATCACTTGAATTTACTTTTTTCCACAAAAAGTTCTCGTTTGATTTCCAAAGCGAAGTTTCTGGCTCCCCGGTCCTGGAGGGTGCAGCCAGGGGCACTTTGTCACACAGAGTCTCTATAACTGCCAAGTCGGTGAGTCTGCTGAGGCTGTGGTCATTCTGCTCATTCAGGATGTCCCAGAAATCTTTGGGTCTCCGTTTTGCTTTTTCCATGGGCCCTGAAAGAATTTTCCTTGGCAGTCGTGTGGGACTGTTCCCGTGACTTTTAAAGAGGTCATCAAGAATAGAGGTGTCACCCAGTAAGCCTGCCACAGAAATCTTTTCTAACTCTGCATTTTTTATCTTTTTGTTTTCCAGTTTGAAAAGGGGTTCATTTCTTGAAATGCCCATTCTTGTGAGGCCCTGCTGGTCTTTCATAGTATTTTCTAACCTTCTCTCACATGCTTCAGATTCACTGCTCAGGGAACTGGACGCTGTGGGATCTTTGGATACTTGGCTGTGTTTTTCACTGTCAGTCCCTTGGGCAGAGCTCATAGGTAATTTCGGAGTTTCTGCATTGTTAGAAAGCAGCTCTTCTCTACAGAAACCATGACTTTGAGGCCTAACTGATTTTTCCGTGTATCTTTTTGGGCTGCAAATTTGAGAATTTTTTTTGGTAGAATCTTTAAATGACAAAGTTTTGGAATCTGGCAGCTTTTCTTTTATAGAAGACTCTCTCTTTTCAGACTTATTCCTGCCTCTCTTTCCTGCCTCGTGGACAGGTTTAATGAATCCTGCAGCAGAATCCACAAAAAAATCTTTGACCTCTGGATACTGAGAAGCATAAAAGTCTCTTAGCATTCTCTGTCGTTCTTCTGATGTGGCATTAGTTATATGTTGAGCAAATTCCTTTACAGAAGACAAATTAAAATACGAAGCCATTTCTTCAAATTGCTTTCTGAAGATTTAATGAACAAAACTAGTGGTTATTTTTATTACATTGTATTTCTAAAGAACTTGTCATCATGACATGAGATGTAGAAACAAAACAATCTTATTCCTTTAGTATATATTACCTTAATTCCATAATAAAAGTGCATTTTACACTAGCAGAATGTGACTTATTTCTTTACACTAGTGAAAAAATGTTTTAGCTCATGAAATCACCAACTTTAAAAATTATTCTGATTTATACTATTAGGTATTTCCTGGGAATTATGAGATCCTGGCACACTACTCTTCCAGTCAGCCAATTTATGACTGACATGAGAATAATAATTCATATAATCTGTATTTGAAAATCTATATTGCATTCAAGTTCCATAAAATAAAATTGTCAAAGAAGGGTCTTAATAAATAGAAAAGAAAACATTCTGAAAAATAAGAAAGGAATTTTTTACTTCTCTGTCCTTTTTCCCCTTCTTCCACACAAATACAACATGGAATTTCACATAACTTTTTGATGAGCCTAAACAAAAGTCCTAAACTTACAAACCTAGATTCTTTCTTCCCCTAATCGGTCCGATTTCAGTATAGACAGCTAACCTAAAAGGTGAGATGCTATTCTTTCCCCCACAGAACTAGGAACAAATAATCCTAAAATGTATATGGAGCCACAAAAGACACTGAATAGCCACAGGAATCTTGAGAAAGAAGAACAAAGTTTGAGATATCGCATTACCTGATGACAAACTCTACTAGAAGGTCATAGTAATGAAAACAACATGTTACTAGCATAAAACAGACACATAGATAAATGGAAGAGAATTGAGAGCCCAGAAATGAACAACCCATGCCTCTATGGTCAATTCATATGTGACAAAGAAGGCAAGAATATACAATGGGGTAAAGACAGTCTATTCAGTAAGTGGTGTTGGGAAAACTGGACAAATACATGCAAATAATGAAATGAGACCACTTTCTTATACTGTACGCGGAAATAAACACACAATGGATTGAACACTGAAATGTGATATCTGTAACCATCAAACTCCTAGAAGCAAGCATAGGCAGTAACTCTCTGATATCGCTCATGGCAACAGTTTTTTTGGATATGTCTCCTTGGGCAAGGGAAACAAAATGAAAAATAAACAAATAGAACTACATCAAACTCAAAAGTTTTTGCAGAGCAAAGGAAACCATTAATAAAACAAAAAGACAACCTACTGAATGGAAGAAGATATTTGCCAATGATACATCTGATAGGAGTTAATATCCAACATTTATAAAAAACTCATACAACTCAACACCAAAAAACCCCAAATAATCCAATTAAAAATGGGCAGGGGACCCAAATAGATATTTCTCCAAAGAGGACATACAGATGGCAATAGACATATGAAAAGATGCTCAATGTCACTAATCATCAAGGAAATGCAAATTAAAACCACAATGAGCTACCACCTCACACCTGTCAGAATGGTTGTCACCAATAAAACAACAACAAGTGTTGGCGAGGATATGGAGGAAAGGGAACCCTCCTTCACTGTTGTTGGGATTGCAAACTGGTGTAATCACTATGAAAAACAGTGTGGAGGTTCCTCAAAATATTAAAAAATAGAACTACCTTTTGACCCAGCAATTTCACTTCTGGGTATTTATTTGAAGGAACCCCAAACACTAATTTTAAGAAGTATATGCATCCCTATGTGCACTGCAGCATCCTATATAACAAAAGGCTAATATGCAAACTGGCCAAACGGCAGAATGACCAGTTGTTATGACACACACTGACTACCAGGGGTCAGACACTGAACGCAGGAGCTGCCCCCTGTAGTCAGTGCGCTCCCACAGGGGGAGCCACACTCAGGCAGAAGCTGGGCTCACGGCTGGCAGAAGCAGTGGTGGTGGTGGGAGCCTCTCTCGCCTTCGCAGCAGCGCTAAGGATGTCTGGCTGACGGCTTAGGCCAATGGGCATCCTCCGAGGGTTCCCGGACTGTGAGAGGGCACGGACCAGGCTGAGGGCCCCCCTACAAGTGTATGAATTTCATGCACTGGGCCTCTAGTTATTTATAATAGCTAAGGTATGGAAGCAACCTAAGTATCCATCAATAGATAACTGGATAAAGAAGATGGGGTACATATAGACAATAGAATATTACTCAGCTATAAAAAAGAATGAAAAGCAGTGGTGGTGGTGGGAGCCTCTCTCGCCTTCGCAGCAGCGCTAAGGATGTCTGGCTGACGGCTTAGGCCAATGGGCATCCTCCGAGGGTTCCCGGACTGTGAGAGGGCACGGACCAGGCTGAGGGCCCCCCTACACGTGTATGAATTTCATGCACTGGGCCTCTAGTTATTTATAATAGCTAAGGTATGGAAGCAACCTAAGTATCCATCAATAGATAACTGGATAAAGAAGATGGGGTACATATAGACAATAGAATATTACTCAGCTATAAAAAAGAATGAAACCTTACCATCTGTAACAATATGGATGGACCTAGGAGGTATTATGCTAAGTGAAATAAGTCACACAGAGAAAGACACATACCAGATGACCTCACTTCTATGTGGAATCTAAAAAACAAAAACAGACAAAACAGAAACAGACTCATGGACACAGAGAACACACTGATGGTTGCCAGATGGGAGAGGGACTGTGGGGGCTGGTGAGAAAGCTGGAGGGATTAAAAAGTACTGACTGGCAGTCACAAGAGTCACAGGGGTGTAAGGTACAGCCCAGGGAGTACAGTCAGTAACACTGTAGGAACTATGTACGCTGCCAGCGGGTACTAGACGTAGTGGAGATTTCACGTCATAAGTTCTGTAAATGTCTAACACTATGCTGTCCACCTGAAACTAATATAATATTGAATGTCAACTGTAACTGAAAAATAACACACACGCAACAATAAAAGTACATATGTCACTTCAAATATTCGGGAAAAATAGACTGGCACTGGGCAAGGCGGTGAGCTGCTACTTGAGGAAGTAAGCTTCACACTTAGTATAAGACACCAATCAAAGCTGCTACATGCATGTGTGGGAGATGGGCCTCTGGGGCCCCAGTGGGATGGAGGCGGAAAGGTTGTCTCAGACTCTGCTCCTTTCCCCAGGTGAGGGCGCTGTGGACTGAACTGTGTCTCCCCCCACCCCACATGTCCTATGGCAAGGCCCTAAGCAGTCCTGTGTGAGTATATTTGGAGACAGAGCCTGTAGGAGGTAACTACGATTAAATGAGGTCATAAGCAGTCACCAGAGAGCTCGCTCTGTATCATGGGAAGACACAGTGAGGAGGTGGCTGCTGGAAGCCAGGAAAAGTCCTCACCAGGAACCAAATCAACTGGCACCTTGATCTTGGAGCTCCCAGAATGGAGAGCAATTTCTGCCATTTAAACTCCAGTCTGTGGTAATTTGTTAGGGCGCCCCGAGCAGACTAGGTATGATGGAGGGTATCACTTTGCTGATGCGGAGTCTGGGCCATGAGTCAAGAGAGCCCAATGTTTGTAAACATTCCTTTAAACAAAAGCCATAGCTGGTATTGCAGCATGTGACTGAAAGTCCCCAAGTTTCAGAATTACATCTATATTTTATATGCTATTCCTTAAAACATTCATTTATTCATTCAACATATGTGTACAGAACCCTCTGATGTGCCAGGCTCTGGGGGAGGAACGTACAACAGCACAAGCCCTAGCTCCCTGTCTTCCAGGGCTTTCTGAAGGTCAAGCCCGAGCCGAGTGGGAAACCCCATGGTGGGCCAGTGCCGCGCCCAGAGGGGACCTAACCAGTGACTGGCAGTGGGCACGGCAGAGGGGAAGGCTGCTCCGCTGTCCCGAGGCCAGTCAGGCGAAGGCGAGGGATGAGGCCTTCCAGGGAGAGGCCCTGGTGCACAGAAAGGAAGACAAACGGACGAGAACCAGCTGGAAACCGCCAGGGCTCCCTACGCCACTTTGTTTGAATTTGCACATAACAGAGAATCCTGAGGGTAAGATTTTTAAAAAATGTGTGTAAGTAGAGCTTATTTTTGCCACTCCCACAGGCACTATAATGTTTGTTTCCTTTGATTTTAGGGGCAGTCCTCATTGCGCCTCATGGCTGTGGCCTCAGGTGAGCAGCATGGTTCCATCCTCCCCACCCCGGGCCTTACTGTCCCAAATCCAGGTATGAACTCTGGCTGATCAGCAGCCATGCTCGCGGCCAACGGAATATTTAATAAACAAATATAAGCTTCCAAGTTTCTGCCCTGGAAACTGCTCCTGTCCTTGCTGGAAAGCAACAGCATGTTCTTAAAAGGGTCCGGTTTTCACTTCACATGAAGCAAGCACGGTACTATCATTTTGTTTATTAATCATCTCCAGATCCACTCTCACGGTCTTTCTAATATTGATGTGTGAAGACTGCTATTTACCCAAGGCTTGGTGGTGCCTCAGCAGCTGCCCCAGGCCATCGCCTTGGCCGCTAGGCCCTCTGGGAAGAGGCTGCTGTGACCGGGATGCAGTCAGTTACGCCGAGAGCGTTACTGGAATTGCTCTCAAACGGGGACTCTGCATTGCCCAGGAAGGCTAGTCCCACTAAGCTTGCTTTTCTGCTTTATACATGATCTTTCACAACTCTCCTCTCCCTAAATCTCTCCCTCTGAACTGATGACTTTCATTGTCCTTTAACTGAGGAAATATCACTGTATCTGTGGCCACCTTAGCCTCTTCTCTGTTAAGGCCTGGCAAAGACTGCATTTGGCCAGTGGCCTAGATCCTGCCCTCTCCTGCCTCCAGCACTTCACTCTTTTCATTCACTCTGGCACGACCTCTCTTCCCGATTGGTCTGTTTCCTGGACACACACAGGTTCTATTATCTTACCAATTTAAAAAAACTTACCCTCGATCCCACAATGCCCTCCCGCTGCGGCTCCGCTTCATATTCCAACCTAAAGAGCTGTTGTGGGTCTGCCCACTCACTGTTTGCCCCCTCTTCCCAGCAGTGTCTACTCAGACTGCTCAGGTCCGTTCTCTGCTGCCCACTCCAGGGGCACGTCCCACAACATCTGATCCAGGTAAGAGCTCTCTCCTTTTCAAACTCACTTCTCTCGGACTTCCAGGCCTCACCATGCCTCCTACTCAACAGGCCGCCTTCACCCCCAGGCTCAGTCCTGGGGCTCCTCCTCTCCTCCGTGCTCCCTACCTGTGCTCTTCAGTCCCAGGGCTCCAAACACCATTTATAATCTCAACGCAGAGATTCTAAATTTAGATCCTAGTCTCAGGATCCCAGGAGAGCAATCCATCACCTGCTCAACATTTTCCTAGGACCTCAAATGTAAGATGAGCCAAAGAGAACTCCTGTTTTGTGTTTTGTTTTGTTTTAAACTCCAAACTTGTTTCTCTCTTAGTTTTCCCCGTTCAGTAAAACCAACTTGTTGCTCAAGACAGAAAGTTGGGAGTTATTCTGTCTTCTCCCTTTCCCAGCAACGAGTCCAACACGAAACACATTCATTTAGCTGTGTCTCCATGGCAACCACCCTATTGCAAACCACCATCACATGTCTAGTTAGTTCCTTCTGGTCTCCCCTAGTCCATGATGCCCTCTTCCACACAGAAACTGGAACAATGTTTTAGAAACATACATCAGATCCTATCCTGCTTCAACAGCCTTCCACTGCACTTGGAACAAAATCCAAAACTTCCCCACAACCCACCACTCTGCATCCTCCAGCTCCGTCTACATCTCTCCCTTCATCTCATGCCACTTGCTCCTTGGTTTATTATGTACTGAGTGCACTGGTCTTCCCTCGGTTCTTCAACACATCCACCCTCTTCCCTCTGCAGGGATGCTCTAATTCTGGTTCTTTGCCCAGTTATCCCTCGGGTCTCACGGTAAACGTCACTCGTGTAGTGCAGTCTTCCATGACCACCCAAGAGAAAGATAGTTACACCCCTCCCGACCCCATTATTCTCCATCAAGGAGGCCTGACCCTTCCAGTCTCATAACAAATGTACCATTATGCAATTACTGTTATTTTACTTTTGAAATTTATGCGTCAATGCCAACTCCCATCCCACTGAACTATAAACTGTCTTTTTTTTTTTTTACACTGTAAATGCAGTACCCAGCACAATGCGTGGGTACATATGAGGTGTTCAACAGATATTAAATAAGCGAATGAATATAATGCACTTAAGTATTTCATTTACCGACATAAAGTGATTTCCGTTTTTTATCAATTCAGGGATTAGCTTTCTAAAAACATCTAAAACATTTGGAATTTATTTCTTAAATTGTACAAATTAAGATTTTTCTGAAATATTCAGATGCCAGGTATGGCTAACATTAAAATAGTTTGTTTTCCTAAGGAGCTGTGTTTCCTTTGAGAAGCACTCTTAGAGTCCAGTGTGTCATAGGCGACATACCTGCGAACCCCTCTTGGTGTTTCTCCCAGTATGAAGGTGGTCTGGTCGGTATGGTAGACTTTCTTCTTCTTCTGGCTCACGGGGTGTGCAATGTAAAGGGGACACGAAACACCTCCTTCACTTGCTTGTTGAACTTCCTTAGCATGTGTCGATGTATCTGCCTTCATTCTGTCTTTATATGTCTGAAAAAAGGGAAGGAAGCAAAACGAAGTCTCAAAAAAATAGTCATTTTTGGTCAAATGAGGAGACTGTGTTGTTTTCAATAATCAAATATATCATATTCTCCAACTGATATTATTATCAGAAGATGTTAACATAGATATTTAAAAAGACACATCATCAAAACAGAAAAGTAATGGTAATACTATGATGTTTCCATTGTAGCTATGGTTTAAGATATATGTTAAAGATATACCTTTCCTAAAGATGAAGTAAAAGTAATGGCAATAATATATTTCTATTGGCAAGACTGGGCATAATGCTGACATACACTACCCTAAATAAGAATAAAAATTAGTGATTATATAAATAATGGCATAAAAACGGGATATTTAAAAATTTTAATTTGGTAATTTTTCTTAAAATTATTAAGAAGACTTTCTCAGTTTCTATGTCAGTAGTGTAAGTAAGTAGTCAAATTGAAAAAATCATAATCTTTATGTGATAATTAAATAAGAAAACATTTTCACAAATCCCACTTTACCTACTGGGTTATAAGAATATTTAGTGACTTAAAGATGCTAACTACAGTTAATTGAAATTATAGACAGAATCATATTTATTTTACAGACTATGGGTTATTTGGTTAACATAATTGTTAAAAAAAAAAAAAGTGGGCCATTTAAACTATATGGCTGAAAGTTCCCTGACAAGATGGTACAGTAAATATGTGGAAAATTACCATCCCATTCCCCAAAAAGAAATACTGGATACAATTTGACAATAAAATTGTACTTGGGCTTAAAACTAAGAAAGGAAAATCTCTAGGTGCCCAAAACAAAGAAGTAAGATTAGAGTGGTGAGGGGGAGCTGAAGCTCAGTAGCCACCAGGGACAGAGTCTAAGTTATAGTTTGCAGGACTCCATGTGTGGAGGGGAGATAAAAAAAAAACTGTTTTAACTCCCTGAATTAAAAAACAAAACAAAAACAATCATCTAAAAAAAATACAGTAGCAGTTAAAATTATATCCAATTTGCAAGTTAAAGCAAGAAAACTCCAAACTGGAGACACAGGATCGAAGCAGGCTACCTTCTTACTCTAGACAGAATCACTGGTGAAAAAATGAAATGCCAAGCCTGTGCCACTTGTGGAATCTGACTTTGGAGAACCTAGGTGATATGGAAAATCTACGTTAAAAACTAACAAAGAGGCCGAAACCGGTTTGGCTCAGTGGATGGAGCGTCGGCCTGCAGACTGAGGGGTCCCAGGTTCGATTCTGGTCAGGGGCATGTACCTGGGTTGCGGACATATCCCCGGAGGGGGATGTGCAGGAGGCAGCTGATCGATGTTTCTAACTTTCTATCTCTCTCTCCCTTCCTCTCTGTAAAAATCAATAAAATATATTTAAAAAAAAAAAACTAACAAAGAGGTGGCCTAGAACCACTGAAAATCCTAAAATCTCAATGAGGAGTAAATACAAAAACATACCATAGAAAGGCATCAATAATCTAGAGAATGCTTGTGATTCCAATTTAGGATCATGTAAAACCCACCATCATGTAAGTAGCAGATGCAACAAATGTGAGAATATATATCTGAGAAACTATAAGTAAAGCCATCTGAAAGACTTTAAATCATTAGCATGTCCACAAAGAAAAAGAATGAATCCATCAGTAAGAACTGTATATTATATTAGAGGCCTGGTGCATGGATTCATGCAGTGGTGGAGTCCCTTGGCCTGGCCTGCGGGGATCGGGCTGAAACCAGCTCTCTGACATCCACTGAAGAGTCCCAGATTGAGAGAGGGTGTTCTCGGGTGACACACCCTGGAATTGGGCTCCCTCCTCTCTGGTTCCAGGTGTGTCACCTGAAAACTGCAGCTGCCAAGTCACCACAGCTCAGCAGCTCCTGCATTGAGCGTCTTGCTCCCTGGTAGTCAGTGCACGTCATAGCTACAGATCAGATGGTCAAATGGTCGCTTAGGCATATATCTATATCTATATATCTATATATATCTATATCTATATCTATATCATCTATATCTATATCTATATCTGTATCTGTATCTATATCTATATATCTAGAGAGATCTAATCTATATATCTCTCTCTCTATATATATATATGCAGATTTGAGAAAGAACCAAATACAATCTCTAAAAAGGAAATATAGTTTTGAAATGAAAAATAAAAATAGAAACAAACTCAAAATATGGGTTAAACAACAGACTAAACAGCCCTACTACCTACAATAATAGTTGATAAAATTGAAGAATAAAATTACTCAGAATACAGTACAGAGATTAAATAAGGAGAGAGAAAGAAATTAAGAGTCAGAGGACATACCAGAAAGAGAAAATGGAAGAGAACTAAAGGCATGAATCCTCAAACCAAAAAAGGAGAATCCCTAGTAGAAAAAATAAATCTATACCTTATTATATCACAGATAAAAGGAGTATCTTTAAAGTACCAGAAAGAAAAGACAAGATATCCCACCAAGAAATGATAATCAAACTAAAGGCAGACTCCTCATTAACACCACTACCACCACCACCATCACTACCACCACCAGATGATAGAAATAATGCCATCAACATGTAGAGAGAAAAAAACTGTCAATCTAGAACTCTATACTCAGTTAAACTATCATTTAAGAAATTTTTCAGACATACAAAAACTATAAGAGTTTACTAGACAAAGATTGTTGATGACATATTATTTTTCTTTTATGGGAGTTCAATGGAATTGAAGTGGCATATATCAATGAATGTGGGTAGGTAATGGCTTTTTATTTTACCAATATTTGCCAAGTACCTGTTATGATCCTGTTACCATGCTCTGCAATTGAAAACAAAGGTATTTACAAATACAAAGGTACAAAATACCCTTATATAAACATACACAAAATAAGCTTAAGGGACTTAAAATTGACAAGCCTATTTTTTTAAAATATGTTTTTATTAATTTTTAGAGAGAGGAAGGGAGAGATAGAAACATTGATCAGTGCCTCCTGACCCGCCCCCACCCCCCCACTGGCCCCCACTGGGGTGTGATTTACATCACAAGAAAACAAGAGCCTGCAAACCAGGAATGTGCCCTGGCTGGGAATTGAACCAGAGACCTCTTGGTTCATGGGCTGATGCTCATCCACAGAACCACACTGGCTGGGCAACAAGCCTATTTTTTTATTTTTTTTGTTTGAAGATGGCACATCTCGATTTTTCTTTTAAAAATAAATCCTTTATCTCTTTAACATATGTTGAGGTTCATTTTACTGAAATAAACTGAATATAAGACAAAACATCCTATATAATAAAAGCCCAATATGGTAAGTGTCCGACCATTCAACCATTGACCAGTTGCTAGGATGCACACTGACCACCAGGGGGCAGAAGCTCTGATTGGTGGGTTAGCTTGCTGCTGGGGTCCAGCCAATCGGGACTGGGCAAGACAGGACGGACATGCCCTGGAGCCCTCCCATGATCCCTTCTGGGTTGGCCAACCTCCCGTGGTCCCTCATCAGCCGGCCGACCCTGATCAGGACTGGGCAAGATGGCCCTGATCAGCTCTGATTGGCCCCAATTGGGACTGGGTAAGATGAGCTGGACACGCCCCGGAGCCCTCCCACAGTCCTTCCCCGGTACCAATTGTGCACCGGTGGTATCCCTCCACCTGGCCTGCGCCCTCTTGCAATCCGGGACCCCTTGGGGGATGTCAGAGAGCCGGTTTCGGCCTGATCCCCACAGGCCAGGCCGAGGAACCCCACCGGTGCATGAATCTGTGCACTGAGCCTCTAGTAAGACATAACTATCTGTCCTTTAACAGCAAACCATTTCTAATGAAAATAGATTTCTTTCAAAATCTACTGTGACTCATATGAACAAACACAATGTTGAAAGTACTTTTTCTAAATATAATTTATTAAATCTTTTTTTAAAATATATTTTATTGATTTTTTACAGAGAGAAAGAGAGAGGGACAGAGAGCCAGAAACATCGATGATAGAGAAACCCCAATCAGCCGCCTCCTGCACACTCCCCACTGGGAATGTGCCCGCAACCAGGGTACATGCCCTTGACCAGAATCGAACCCGGGACCCTTGAGTCCTCAGGCTGACGCTCTATCCACTGAGCCAAACTAGTCAGGGGTATAATTTATTAAATCTTAAAAAATTATTGATAAGGAGAGGAAAATGCTGATCTTTAAAGATAAGTTTGAAAGAAATTTGAAGCATTTATTTTACACCACAAGAAAAAAAGGTGCATGTTAAAAGTTCCTCATAAAAAGACTCATTATCTTAGATGATCTCTAAGAAGAAATGTTTGCATGAGGATAAAGGGAGTAAACTGAAAGAGAAGGAACTGTGCCAACCAAGAACACTCCCTCCTCATGGACTGCAATTTCTGAAGCCATGGAGAAATCGTGCCAGCTAATGGCCATTTTTAGTTATTTACATGATTACAATGGGTCTTTTTGACTCTGGAAGCATTACAAAGCTCATATTTTGTGTAGATACATTTTTCATAAGTTAATTTTATAAACTCCAGGAAAATTCAGCCTTTCTAACCATACCTATCAGACATGTGGATTTTTATTTTTGGCCCGATGCACGAATTTCATGCAAGGGGCTTGGCCCTCGCAGCCTTGGCCAGCCCTTGCAGCCCCAGCTTCATCCAGAAGGTCATTCTGCTGTTTGGTCTAATTAGCTTATTAGCTCTTTATTATATAGGATTTTGAAACCTCATTATTTTACACAATAATAAAAAGGAAAAAGCATTCATCTCTCACATGAGCTCAATGGTTCAGATTTCCATTTTAGTAGGTACTTTAACACTTTACTGAAAGGAGGCTGTGAAACAACATTTTGTTCATCTAATAAACATTTAGTGTTTTTGATATAAAAGTTGGTTTCACTACTTTATAATAAAACTAGAGGTCCGGTGCACGAATTCGTGCACAGACGGAGTCCCTTGGCCTGGCTGGAGATCAGGGCCATCTCACCCAGTCCTGACTGGGGCTGATGG